CCTGGATGGGAGAAGGCTCAGAGGATGGAGATCCGGTGGCTTTACGTGCTAAGGACACAAATCCCCATTTTTTACTGCTGAGACAGGAAACACTGTCAGATCCTTCTGCAGGATTCTATTGTTACAGGAGCAAAAGCAGCTGTTGGCCAAGGTGAAAGTGGCAGAGGGCATCTCTCTGCCACACGCAGGTCAAAGACACTGGAGGTGGAGGATGCAAAGGAAATCACAGCTCTCTGCAGCCAACTGCAGCACTGCCTTGTTTTATCAGAGAATTATAGAATTTTTAGGGGTTGCAGATCATCTAGTCACAACCCCTCCTGCCATGGGCAGTCACTTACCTTCTTTTGTCCAGTTTCTGGTCCTGTTCAGTTGGATTTTTGGATGTCACAGAGGCAGATGCAATATTGGACTTAATTTCCATTCCTTGTCCAAACATTTTTGTGCTAACTCAACATCAAGTGCTGAATTAGTTCACCAGTGCTCAAAGCCAGGTTGGAAAAAGCCTTGAATAACTTGCTCTGGTGGGAGGTGTCCCTGCCCAGGGCAGGGGATTGGGACTGGATGGTCTCTAAGCTCCATTCCAACCCCTAAAATTCTATGATCAAACTTTTCAGCTTGGAAGAACCTGGATTCTGGTGCAAGCAGCCAGATGGATCTATACCCGCCCTTCAGCCCTCCCAGCCTCCTCATCCTCCATCCTCCCCTTAGCTTCTGGCTGCACACCTAAGCCAGCCCCACACCTGGTGTGCAGACCCTGCTCCAGGCTCCCTACGGCCCACCCAGGGCTCTGTTCTACCCAGTGCCTGCAGCAGCTCTCAGCTGCAGCTCACACCCACCCCCTCCAGCTCTAGCTCTTCGTTTCTTTACACTAATACATGTTTTTGTCGATCCAGACTCTGACCTGGAGGAGCACTGCCCCTCTGGGCAGCCGGGGAGAGTCACAGACCCTGCGTGCTCCACACTGCTGGAGCTCTCCCTGGGATTGTGGACGAGCAGAACTCCCAGTTCCCGTGTGATAACCGGTTTGTTCTGTCGCTGGAGACACTCCCTCCCTCTGCAAATGTTACAAATCAGGCGTATCTGATCCATTATTCACTAGCTGCTGCCGCTTCCCACTTCCAGCTCCTATTAGAGGGAGAGCTCATGCCAGAAATGTCACGGCAGCATCATGTGACAGGTGGTGTTGATTTAGCTCCGTCGGGTTTTAATGTCACTCTGGTTCAGTGGGACACAGGGTGAGTGCACACGGAGCCTCAGCTGTGGGGCAGGGCAGGACAGGAGCTGCCAGCCAGCCCCGTGCCAGGCTCTGGAATGTGGGAATGGCATCAGGACTCTGCCGCAGACGACACAGGAGTACCTGCTCCCAGCTGCTGTGTTATCACAGTTCCGTATTTCTCACGATTCGTAGAATCCCAGAACGGTTTGGGATGGAAGGATCTTAAAGATCATCCCATCCCACTCCCTGCCAGGGGCAGGGACACCTTCCAATAGCCCAGGGTGCTCCAAGCCCCATCCAACCTGGCCTGGAACACTACCAGGGATAGAGCAGCCACAGCTTCTCTGGGCAACTTGTGCTAATGTCTCACCACCCTCACAGGGAAGGATTTCTTCTGTACAAGAAACTAGATTGCAACTATTAATCATTAGACTAAAGTCTGAGGTTCTGTGGCAGTTTACAGCAGAGACAGGGAGAAGGGACAGGACTAGGTGTCACACTATAAACCCACCACGTCATTTTCACTCTTTACAGGACACTCCTTCATAGCAGAACAGCTGCCAGTTTGGGAAAGCTGCTCACAGCCTCTCAAGCCTCGTGCACAGAGACTCTGCAAAGTAAACCCCAAGGAACACATGCCCAAAACAAGCTGGGACTGCTCAGCCACAAGAGCCATGGGATCCAGCACTCCACTCCTGCCATTCCTGCATCCTCACCAAGAGCCTTTCGCCTGTAAACAATCCTTCCAGAACACCCAGTCTGGCTGTGACTGAGGCCACTGCTTAAACACTGAGTATTGTAACACACAGAGTCTCTGCCACCAAGGATGTTTGCCAGCAAAGCTTAGACTGACCCAGAGTTACTCTGCTGCCAGGTCTGGAATCGCTGCAGTCACCGGCCTGACATGACCCAAGCCTCCACAAGATTTTTGATTTCATTTTCCTTGCTGTCTGAAAGCAGGTAGTCTGCCAAGCAGCCAAGCAAAGCCCAGCCCAGTGCCTGATAAACATCTATCTGGATTTCCCAAGCTTTTAGGAAAGTTAAGCAACTCTCACAGAAAGTGATTTCTATATATAACATGATTCTGTGCAGAGCAGCAGCACATGGAGCTCTGTGCCATGAGCTGGAGTGGAGGGATGGGACAGCAGAACATCCACCACCCACCATAGGTCAGTCCAAAATAAAGACTGTCACTCCATCTGGGACATGTCACAGAGCTTTGAGTCATTCTTTGTTCTAAATACCACCAGCTCCTATCTTCAAAGTGGTGCTGAATGGCTGTAATTGCTACATGAACTCAAAAAAAGCAAAGACAATCCCCCAGCCCTTGTGTGCAGGGAGTGCAGGCTGCTGAGGCAGGAGAGCCCTTGGGTTTGGGGCAGAAGGAACATCCTTCCACCTGGGAAAAAAAGCCCTGGGAAGCAAAGGCTTAGTGCTCAACAGCCACATATATATATATATATAACCTATGAGATAACAGAAGGTGTTAGTAGTTATAGTGTTCAACCCTGGCAGTTCATCCTTCAAAACAAGAGAACACTCATGAAATGCCAATGCTAAGAAGTTAAACTGAGGATTTCTGAGCCCATTTCCTACCAGGCTTCTTTGTAAAGGAATTGCTATGACTTGGAGAGGTGGATGTTTCCTCCAGGACAGTAATTCCCTTCCAGATCTAATTGAACTCCTCATTTATAAGTACCAAAAAGTTGCAGGCAACATGTGGCTTGATAGCAAAACTCAGCTTGAAACTTGTCTGCAATGATGGAGCAAACCTTTTGCAAGCTACAAAAAATAATTTATTTCAAGTAATAAAGAGGCAAATGTTATAGAGGACGAAGCATTCATGTTGCATCCCAAAATCTGACACAGAAAAAAAAACATTCCAGCCCCACACTGAGCCTCTGAGAGAAGAGCTGGGACTGAAATGCCTGCAGGGAGAGTGGTAAACAATTAGCATTGAAAAATAATTTGGTGACACAGCATTGACTAATGAAGCACAGTGAAATGTCCAACATCACAGATGATGAAAACAACTGGGAAAAGTAGAAATTTCTGTCAGTTGATTGCTACAACTATAAATTTCTGTGAAGTCCAAGGTAAGGAGCAGGTAAGACATAGAAAACATGACAAGCTCAAACAGAAGGAGCCATATCACAGAGGAGCTGGAATAAAAAGCTGTACTGGATATTGTAATCCCTCATTTGATAATCCAGAAGTGAATGGGATACTAAACACCAAACACCCTGTTAAAGGAACAGGGATACAAACTCAACTGTGACAAACAGCTCTTCCCTCCCCTTCCCCTTGGCCCAGGGCTGCTGGGACCACCAGCCAGGCCTGGAACATCTCACCTGGTGTTCCAAACTGCCAGAGAAACGGCCAAAACACACTCAGGGTGACCTGCTGGTCCTCCCCTCCTGCATGGGACACACCTCCCACCCCAGCACCAACACTTCCCAGGGCAGGACTCCACAAACACCAGCACAGATGCAGAAGGGTTTGGTTTCAGCTTACCACGAGCACCTCCAAAGGCTCTTACAGTCCCACAAACCTTGCTGTGCTGCAGGATCTATGCTCTTCTCGCAGGAGCAGTGTTTTAAAAACTCATTTATTTTATCTCTGCTCTATTGTAGTGAACTCCTAAGGTTGGACACCTTAAGGCTTAAGCTGTGCCAAAGAAGAGTCAGTTTGGACATGGGGAAGAGTTTCTTCCCAGAAAAGGTGATCAGACACTGGAGTGTGCTGCCCAGGGAGGTGGTGGTCACCACCCCTGCAGGTGTTTTAAGCAAAGACTGGAGGTGGCACTCAGTGCTCTGCTCTAGTTGACATGGCGGTGTTAGGTCCTAGGTTGGACCCACTGACCTCAGAGGTCTTTTCCAACCTGATTGTGATGCTGTGACACAAACACTCTTGACCACCACAACTTCTCTCAAAAGGTAAAGGCTGATGATTTTTCAATCATTATTTCCATCTTGAAGACAGCACCTTCCTTTGCCCTCACCTCCCACTGAGAAGTGTTTGCACAGGTGAGGTCTGTACCACCTGGAGCTGTGTGTGTACAGTTCCATGGTGCAGGGTCACAGTGTTTCCTTCATGCAACAGCATCAACATAACAATGAGGAGTGAGAACGTTTGCACACACAAAAGGGAAGCAAACATTGCAACAGTGAGCAACTTCAGTCCTCTAAGCCTAAACTGGAGAAGATTGCCAAGTCCACAGTGCCAAATACCCATTTGGGAAAAAGGTGAGCCTGAGAAGAGTTTTACCTGTTGATAGTGTGAATGTGAGCCAGGCAAACACCTCAATGCAGCATTCTCCTCCTACACCTACAGCTGTGTATGTACAGAACTGAGATTAAATATCCTGTTGGCAGCAAGTCCTAGGTCAGGACAGAAAAGCTGTGAAGACAGAAGAGTGCAAAACTTCAACTGGTATTTATATGGGGTAAATGCCTTCTAGGAGTTGCCATATTTGCCTCAGCCACACTGAAACTGACTCTATCTGTCCACTAAACTTGTTAACAGCTCAGTGTAAATTCTCATGGTTACCTCAGCTCTCCCATCAACAGGCAACAATATTCACCAGGTAAAAATTAATCAGCTATCTGAGGGTTGAAAGGCTTCCCCAAGAAACCCTCCCCTGCTTGCACAAGGAAGAGATGCAAGGGTAGCCTTGGACAGCCTCTTTAAGGATGTGATAGGTGGCAAAGACATTGACTGCTGACAGCTCTCAGCCTAGCTGTGCTTCCCAACTGCACTGCTGGCAGCTGGACACAAACCAGAATCACTTCAGTTTGGGGAAGATCCTGATGAAGAGAATCATGCTGATGAATATGAAACAAACTACAATCAACATTATCCACAGCAGCCAGTTGACTGATTTCTTCGCGTGCTGTTCCAGGCGGTCGGACTCGTCCTTGAGCTTCTCAAAGTTCTGGTCTGCCATCCTGAGGGAATGGGACAGTGTCTGTGGAGCAAAGAGAGACATAGGGTCAGACTCAGAGCTGCAAGGTCTGGCTGAGATTTCCTCCAACAGAGAAAAGGTTCAGTCACAACGCAGCAGCACACAGGTATGGTCTCCTCTCCCCACTCTGATCAGCAAGGTTGGAGGAGACCTCTAAGATCATCAAGTCCAACCATTAACCTGTCACTGCTGGAACCCCTAAACCAGATCCTCCAGCACCAGATTCAGATGCCTCTCAAACACCTCCAGGGATGGTGACACCACCACCTCCCTGGGCAATATCCCAGGGCCTGAACACCCTAACAGGGAAAACAGTTTTCCTAACATCTCTGAATCAGCTCAAGGCCATTCCCTCTAATCCTCTCCCTGCAGCCATGGCAGGATAGACCATCCTTCACCTCTCCACAACCCTGTCAGGGAGTTGTAGAGAACAGTAAGGTCACCCCTGAGCCTCCTCTTCTCAAGACTAAACAAACCCACCTGGACTCGAGTTATGGGTATAGGATTTCACATATACTGGCACTTTTTAACCTTCTGGGCTGCCAAAGAGAGGTGAAGGCTTCGACATGCTACCTGGTTGTCCTGTTTGATCACGTTCTGTGCAGCCAGAGTGTTGTTCTTGAGGCTGCGAGCCAAGCTGAGCATTTCCTCAGCCAACTTCTCCTGCATGTCCTGGTGGTGCTGCAGCACAGCATCCAGCTCCACTGCTGACTGCTTCTCGCTCGCTGCGACGCCTCTGCGAGAGCACAAGGGGAAAAACAGGGATTTGTACTCCTTATGAGTCAATCTCCTGAGTTTTCCCCAGATTCTGCAACTCTACAAGACAACAAGGCCAGTTCAGCCAGCTGAAGTCATCATAATTTGGTTGCTACCAGCAGACACTTCACCCAAATAAAAGTACATCTGGGATTTAAAGGTCATTGGGAAAACAGTTCCCAAAACACTGAGCGTTGGAATGAGATATTTCAACTTACTTTCTCTTCCTTATGCTCAACTCCTCAGAATCTGGAGGAAAAAGAAGAGTTAAATCAGTGTTTTAGCACAGTCTAAATTCCCACACAATCACAGCCTGAAGAAACTAAGTAAGTAAGGGATTTTCAGAGGTCTAAATCCTACTTGGCCTCTACCCCATGGAATATGGATGTCAAACGCTCTCTCCAAGGGGGAAAAGAGGATACAACATCAAAAGAGGGAACAGATCCCAGGTGAATCACATCCCTGAGGGCAGAGTTTAAGCCCATGTGTCTCAGTGTTCTTTCAGGACACGTTAGCTTGGCCCAGCTCCAGCCCCTGTAACAGTAGCCATGGCAACCACAAACGAATTCCTCCCATCTCCCTACAGGAACATAGCTGTGTATTCCAGAGGAACTAACAACACCTACTCCAAGCACCCAGAAATCACATGATCTGCTCAGAGCAGAAAGGAACAGCAACAGATTGTCGATTAATTGTCAATTCTGTAATTATAATGTCTCTTTCTGCATGAGTTCATAGAATGTTAAGGGGCTGGGATGGACCTTAAAGATGCTTCCTGTTATCCTCATTATTCCTCATCAGATTCCATTCTACCTGGGCCTTGGCTTCCCTAACTTCCCATGCAATATCCCTGTGTTCCTCCCAGGCCTCATTTTCATCTCCCAAATTCTACAAAGAGGCTCCTGCAAGTGCCATTGATAACAAAACTTCTGCTTTCATCTGTCAGGAGTTTGTTTTTGCAATCTGCTAGCTCAGAAAGAAGTGAGCCACTAAATTAAAAGTACACTTTGGGCAACCTCTAATGTCTGACCTTCCTCCTCCTCCTCCTCTCCCTGGAACACTCAGCAAATTAGAGAAAACAGCATGAAACTTACCATCAGCAGCCAAGGGGTCCTGGGGAGCAGAAAGAGAACCAAAAGAGCAGATTACAAAGGGTCAGTGCTCACAGATATCCCCTGCCTGTGCCCAGGGTTTAGACCATCCAAACCAGCAATAAGGTGACTCCCTTCCCAGCTTGGGACATAGCTCAGACTCAACCACCCCAGGACAATCTGTGAAGTATTAAGAAAGCAGCAGCAGCACCAAAACATACTGTACCAAGCAGCTCACTCCTCATCTGGCCTGTGCAGCGAGCCTTGGTCTGCAGATGGACAGTTTTGGTCGCTGGGGTTCTCTCCTTGGCCGTCGTAGGGGTACGACCAGGGGCCAGGAACTGGTTTGCCAGAGCCTTTTCTGTTGATGAAGTCTGTGAGTGGGAAGAAGCAATGAAAAGTCATGGATTCTGCAGAGTGAGGCACCTGGGGGGGTGGTCAGCAAGGCTAAGGCTGCAATTCCACAGGCAAGTCAGCCCACTGTACCCCACCAACTACATTCCAGCTTGTTGGCACTTCACAGCTCTCCATCCAAGAGAGGTGTCAGGCCTGAAGGACAGGACCTGCCTCTGCATCCCCCAGCAAAGGAGTGAGAGAGATGTAGGCAAGGTGCACTTTGCTTTTGAAGAGGAGATTTCACACAAAACCTCCTCCTGACAAAACATGGACCCACTCTATTAATCCCCATTTCACAAGCACTGCCTGGTAAGGTTTTAACAGCTGTTATGTTGAGACAAAGCAGCAAACACAGGAACCTGGTAACATGTGGAATATAAAGCAGAGAACACTTAAGTATTTCCAAGCTGGAATAGCAATCTTACCAATTTTTCAGCTTCTAGGAGTCCCTTGAGGAAGTCGACTTTGCGAGAGTATTCATTCAGCAGCTCAGGTGCTGGTTTGCTGTTAGAATTGAGAGAAAACAACATGGAAACTGAAAGTTATCAGTATTTTTTGTTAGTCAGCTGACTTCCCAAGTAGAATAAGGTAGGAAAAAAACACCATATGGCTCTTCAAAGCAGCATCAGGATAGGAGAATGTGCTGGGAATTCCTCCTCCTTGCGCAGGGCATGGAGGGCACAGGGATCCCACAGGGAAGCACAGGATTTTGTGGGCTGGGGCTGACCTACAGAGGACTATCAAACCACAGAGGATGGAAAAGACCTCCAAGATCCCCAACCTTCAGCCAAATCCCAATTTCTCCATGAAACCACAAAGTCCACTCTGTCATCACTCCTACAGCTGCTGCATCCACCACGGCCCTGGGCAGCGTGTGCCGGTGCTAACCACTTTTTAAGGGATTAAATCATTCCTCCTGTGCTGGTTTGAGCTGGAGTAGAGTTAACTTTCTTCACAGAGGCTAGTATGGGGCTATGTTCCCCCCTCCCGTTGGGGGGGGAGTGAGAGGCTGCTGGTTCTTGGCTGCTGCTGGGGTTAAACCACGACACCTCCACCCACCCTGAACCTCTCTCGCTGTTTCCCCTACACCACAAACGCAACGGAGACCCCCGAGCGCTCACCTGGATTGTTTCTTCAGCTCC